TTTAAAAGGATCACTCTGGCTGCCGTATGAGACTGTATTAGGCAATGGTTGCAGATGAGAGATCAGTTAGGAGACTTCTATAATCCAATAGTAGCAGGTGCTCAAAAATATTTGTTGTTCAAGAGAAACTGGACCAGATCCTCTTGCTCTAAAGTATATTTTGGGGGTACCTGGCTGGCACCAGTCAGTGGAGCATGTGACTCTTGATCTCAGGGTTGTGAGTTTGAGCCCAATATTGGATGTGGAGATTACTAAAAGATAAAATCTTAAAAAAAAAAAAAACAGCCTTTTTCCTCTGGGCCGCCAACATACCATCCAGACTGAGGAAGACCCGGAAACTTCGGGGCCACGTGAGCCATGGAGAAGCACCCAGGAGGCCCGGGTAATGCTGGTGGCATGCATCATCACAGGATCAACTTCGACAAATATCACCCAGGTTACTTTGGAAGAGTAGGTATGAGACATTACCACTTAAAGAGGAACCAGAGCTTCTGCCCAACTGTCAACCTTGATAAACTGTGGACCTTAGTCAGTGAGCAGACGCGCGGGTAAATGCCGCCAAAAACAAGACTGGAGCTGCTCCTATTATCGATGTGGTGTGATCGGGCTACTACAAAGTTTTGGGAAAGGGAAAGCTCCCAAAACAGCCTGTCATCGTGAAGGCCAAATTCTTCAGTAGAGGAGCTGAGGAGAAGATAAAGGGTGTGGGGGGCGCCTGCGTTCTAGTAGCTTGAAGCCACATAGGGGGAGGTTCATTAAATGCTAACAAGTGAAAGTAAAAAATAAAATAAAAATAAAATAAATAAAATATAAAACCTTTAACAAAATAAAAACTGAATTTGGGGGACATATGACTAAAGTTTACTCCGGTCTATGAGTTCTTTGTATTACTCTTGAACTGTTCTGTAATTGTGAAACTGTTTCAAAGTAAAATTAGATCCATTTATTTGAGAGAGAGGGAAGGAGGGAGGGAGGGAGCAGGAGGAGGGGCAGAGGGAGAGGGAAAGAAAGGAACTCAAGTAGACTCCCCACTGAGCACCAAGACTGACTTGGGGCTCACTCTCACTACCATGAGATCACAACTGTAGACAAAATCAAGGGTCAGATTCCCAATCAACTGAGCCATTCAGGCACCCCAAAATTATTTTTTTTAATTTTGTTTAAAGTTTTTATTTGTAAGTGATCTCTACACTAAACATGGGGCTTGAACCCACAACCCCAAGATCAAGAGTCACATGCTCTATTGACTGAACCAGCCAGGCACTCCTAAAATTAATTTTTAAAAGTTTGTTGCAGTATGAATGATGCCCACAAGCATACATTTCTTCATTTATTCAACAAATACTTATAGAGCACTTACAATGTGAATGAGACAGATATGATCCTTGCCCTCATGGAGTATACAGTCTGACAAACAGTATACATATAAATGAGTAAATCCTAATTATAAAGTGTGATAGTATTAACAAGGAAAAGAAGGGGTACTGCAAGAAAAATGGAATGGGAGAAGCCTACCTTAGGTTGGCAATATAGTAGAGGTAAAGTGTGCAGACTCTAGCACCAGAAGACTAGAGTTCAAGTCCAGGCTCTATTACTCATAGTGTGACTTTGGCAAAGTTATTTATCCCTTTTTTAAAAAAAATATGTATTTATTCATGAGAGACACAGAGAAAGACAGAGACACAGGTAGAGAGAGAAGCAGGCTCCATGCAGGGAGCCCGACATGGGACTCGATCCTGGGACTCCAGGATCATGCCCTGAGCTGAAGGCAGATGCTCAACTACTGAGCCACCCAGGCGTCCCCAAAGTTATTTATCCTTTTTGTGCTCTAGTTTTCTCGGCTTCTATATGGAAATAATAATTGTCATCATATTGTGTGGAAATAAGAATATTACTTACTTTAAACGCTTGCCCTAAGATTTAATAGAGTTAGTATATAGAAAGGACTCAAAAACACTATCATGTACAGAATGAGTGCAATGTGAGTGTCAGCTCTTAGTATTGAATGTGCAGGAAAGGCCTTTCTAAAGGGGTAACATGGGGATCCCTGGGTGGCTCAGCGGTTTGACACCTGCCTTTGACCCAGGGCACAATCCCGGGGTCGAGTCCCATGTCAGGCTCCTGGCATGGAGCCTGCTTCTCCCTCTGCCTGTGTCTCTGCTTCTCTCTCTCTCTCTCTCTCTCTCTCTCTCTCTCCCTCTGTCTATCGTGAATAAATAAAATCTTTAAAAAATAAAAAATAAAAAAATAAAGGGGTAACATTTAAGATTTTAGGGGGAAAAAGTAAAAAGATGATATGCTCAGGATTTTTTAGAGAAAAAATTCCAAATGAGGAAAAGATGCTGTTGTTTTCAACTCTTTAAAATTAGAAAGCTGGCAATTCACTTTTCAGGTCTGAACATCAGTAACTGGGAATTCATCCCACTCAAGATACCTTCTCAGAGGGGGGAAGGAAGGCAAGTAAGGAAATGGACATGATTGTTCTTTACAAATTAGAACATGCTTGAAAGTGATCAGCATCACTGCTGATTTTGCTGATAAGTCAGTGAACAGGTAGCTTATGAAAGTGGAGAGTATTCCCTTCCAGTGAAAACAGGTGGCATTCCTCACATTACCAAACCATCTGCTAAACTCCCTCCCAAAGCCCCACTTCATTCAGTGAACCTCACTCTTTACATACATATCGGAGAGATATGAGGGAAGCATCCTTTAGAGTGTTAGGTGACCTCTAGAAGAAGTGATAGACACATTGGTCATTGATTTTGGAAACGGTGTACAGAACTAGCTGACTGGAATGTGTGCTTAGTTTTCCTTGGCAAAGGAGGAAATCGAGGCTCCTAGTTCTGCCATTTATGCAGGCTAATCATTGTAAGTTCTCTGGGCCTCCATTTCCATTTTTTTATTTTTTATTTTTTTTATTTTTTTAAAGATTTTATTTATTCATGAGAGACACAGAGAGAGAGAGGCAGAGACACAGGCAGAGGGATAAGCAGGCTCCATGCAGGGAGCCCGACGGGGGACTAGATTCCAGGTCTCCAGGATCACGCCCTGGGCCGAAGGCAGGCACTAAACCGCTGAGCCACCCAGGGATTCCCCATTTCCATTTTTTTAAATAAAGATTTTATTCATTTGAGAGAGAAATAGCAATAGAGATAGCGAGAGAGAGCATGAGCTGGGAGGAGAGGGAGAAGCAAGCTCCCTAATGAGCAGGGAGCCCGAAACGGACCTCGATCCCAGGACCCTGAGCCAAAAGCAGATGCTTAATAGACTGAGCCATGCTGGCGCCCTCTCCATTTCTTTTCTTTTTTTTTTTTTTAAGATTTTATGTATTTATTCATGAGAGATACACAGAGAGAGAGGCAGAGACACAGGAGGGGGAGAAGCAGGTTCCACGCAGGGAGCCCGACGCAGGACTCGATCCCAGGTCTCCAGGATCCGTCCCTGGGCTGAAGGCGTTGCTAAACTGCTTAGCCACCGGGACTGCCCCCTCCATTTCCATTTTAAAAATAGATTTCAAAAGTTCTTTCCAGCAATTTCTGAAATGTGATTTCTAGTGTAAAGCATAGGTCCCACAAAAAAACTGGTAGCCATTTTGCCCACACAACTCTTCCAGTTTTTCTTGTTGATATGCAATACCAGATTGGCATCTTAAAATGGAGCTAAGCCAAAAGACACAGAGTCCATCAGAACATTCTGCAACTCTGAGCAGAAATCTCCATCTAGATGTACATGGACATATATGGCAGGGCCAACATGGCCTTAGTTTTCTTTTCTGAAGGAGAGCAAAATTACTGAATACTCCTAAACTCCTCTGTGGCAGACAGCAGTTGAGATTCTTTCCATTTATATGGATGCTCACAGACTCTGGGTGTTTGAAACAGCATATTTGAACAGTGAGGAAAGCTGCAGACCTCAAATTCTGTTTTGTTAATAAATTCCTGTTTTAATTTCAAGAATTGGTATTCAAGGTATTACTATCTCATTCTAGAGATGAAAAAACTACAACTTAGAGGAGTTAATGAACTTGCCAAATGTCAGGGTTACATGGTTAGTGCTGGAGACTGGATTTGAACCCAGGCCTGTCTGGTTCCTACTAGGGTACCATGCTCTATGCTTGAGGAGCTCCTGTGGTCCCTTTCCTTAGCGTTTTCTTCTATTTCCTAGGACAGAACAACTGGCCTAGTCTTCCTAAGTGATTGTTAAGTTCTCTGGAACATAGACATAGGTGAACCACCTCTCTATTTTCAGGAAAGCTGGAGACCAAAGGTAATGCAAATGAGCAGTCTAATTTGGGTCTGCTGTCTAAACTTCATTCATAACTAGGAGTAGCATTGCACTTTACAGGAGACAACTCTGTGCCAGCCACTGGGTACTGAGCACTTTATATTCATTAGCTCATGTATTCCCCACCATTACCTTGTGACAGAGCTCTTATTAGCATTGGCTCCATTTTACAGATGAGTGGCACTGAGGGCCAGAGAAAAGTTAACTGTTCCAAGAATACTCTCTTTGATGAACTTTTTATGCCTTGCACTTTTTGCACATGTACTTAGTTATTTGTTTTTCTGTTTAATCTAAGTTACACTGTAAACTCCAGGACGCCAGGGGTCAGGTTTGGTTCAGCATAGTGTCTGCCATAGTAACAAACGCTAACTATGGAATGAGTCAACTAAGGCGCCAACGGCTGAAACGGTCTAAAGGCCGCGCAGGGTGATTTCACACCTAGGAAAGCATCTTTAATTCTCCCTTTCAAAAACCATTTCCAACAGCCGCTGGAACTGAAAATACCCCTAATGCTGCTGCCGAAGGAATCTGGGTCTTCCAAGTGGACGCCCAACCCCCGGCACTTCGCTTGTAAATCGTCTCCCAAGTAGCCCTGGCTCATTTACTCCACCGGCGGGGAACGGCCCCAGGGACAGACGGCCTCCTCGGTTCCCGACACACGCACAGCCCCGCCGCCGGCCCGGTCGGGGAGGGGCCCTCCGCGGAGGGGCCCTCCGCGTCCCCTTCCGAGGGCGCGCCCGGGAAGCCGGGAGCTGGAGAGCGGTTGGCCGCCGCGCCCTTCCGGGTCGGGGGGGTGGGCGGTGCCAAGGCCCGAGCCCCGCCTACGCCAGGGGTGGAGCCACCGCCCGGGACCGTCCGGAGCTGCCGCAGGTAACGCGCCCCGGGTCTGGGGTTCTCCGGGCCGTGGGTCTGCAGCTTTCCCGGGCAGGGGCCGTCGCATCCTTTAGGATAGTGGGCCCGAGCCGGGCGGAGAGCACTGGGGAGGGCGTTCGCGGACTCTGTCCCGGCCTTGTGGACGAAAAGGAGCCAGCCGGCTCCCTCCCGACCCTGACTCCTTTCCTCTGTCGCTGCCACGCGGGGATGGGCCTGGGGGATGGGACTGGCCAGGGGTAGCTGGACGAAGTCCCCGTCCGTGCGAAGTTTACCCCACTGGGCTTTGGTGACCGCGGTCAGTGGCTTAGGCCAAAGGTTGGATTTATTCAATCATCTCCCAGGAATCTCATCCATTTCTTTCTTCATTCACTCATTCCTCAGCTTTACTCCGAGCCAAGCCCATTGGTGGGTTGTCTGAATGACTCTGAGAGTCCTAGCTCTGTTGGAATTTAGTCTAGAATCTGATCTAAAGACTTTTAAATAGATAATTACATTCAAGATGATCCCCGCAGTGATGAGGGCTTAATCGATAGCCTTCCGAAGGACAAGGACGCAACTTGAGGATGTCAGTGGAAAGGAACAAATCAGGGAAGGTTATGCTGAGAAGGGGGGAGTATATTTGAACTGGGCTTTGGAGGTCGACTGGGAGTCTCCCAGTTGACAAGAAGGGAAGGGGTATTTTCTTTTCTTTTTCTTTTTTTTTTTTTTATACGGTATCATTTTATTTCATCATTCTTTTTTAAGTAGGCTCTACACCTAACGTGGGACTCGAACTCACGACCCTGAGATTCAGAGCCAGCCAGGCGCGGGAAGGGGTATTTTCATAGGGGAAATAGCACAAGATGCAAGATATGAAAGGGCCTGCCCCGTTAGGAACAACAAATATAGTAAGAATAGCTCACTATGGCAAGAAAGGGTGGAGCTGAGTTCCTGAGGAGAAGGTTGAATCCAGAATGCCTTTTGTTTTTAAAGATTTTATTTATTTATTAATGAGAGACACAGAGAGGGGCAGAGACATAGGCAGAGGGAGAAGCAGGCTCCCTGTGGGGAGCCTGATGCAGGATTCGATTCCAGGACCCTGGGATCATGCCCTGAGCTGAAGGCAGACGCTCAACCACTGAGCCACCCAGGTGCCCCAAAACATAAAATATTTTACATTTTGATGAGAGTGAACATTATATGACCCCTGAAAATTTTTTTGATATATGCCCCTTTTCCACAGAAAATCACAGACACAGAAAACGTTAGCCAAAAAGCTTCTATAGGGCAGCCCGGGTGGCTCAGCGGTTTAGGGCCACCTTCAGCCCCGGGCGTGATCCTGGAGACCTGGGATGGAGTCCCACGTCAGGCTGCCTGCATGGAGCCTGCTTCTCCCTCTGCCTGTGTCTCTGCCTCTCTCTCTCTCCTCTCTGTGTATTCTCATGAATAAATAAATAAAATCTTAAAAAAAAAAAGCTTCTATAATTGTATTAATGAAGATGTGTAACATTTGCCTCCCAAATATAAGTTTATAGCAAAGGGTTGGTAATGCTTATTCAAATTAATCAGACCCTAGGAACTGGCACATCAAAAGGAAAATTTTTTTAAAAAGATTTTATTGTTTTTTTTTTTTTTTAAGATTTTATTTATTTATTCATGAGAGACACACAGAGAGAGAATGGCAGAGACAAAGGCAGAGAGAGATGCAGGTTCCATGCAGGAAGCCCGATGTGGGATTTGGTCCTGGGACTCTGGGATTATGCCCTGAGCCTAAGGCAGACACTCAAACGTTGAGCCACCCACGCATCCCAAGATTTTATTATTTTATTCATGTGAGAAAGAGAGAGACAAAGACATAGGCAGAGGGAGAAGCAGGCTCCCTGCACGGAGCCTGATGTGGGATTCGATCCCAGGATCACGACCTGAACCGAAGACAGATGCTCAACCTCTGAGCCACCCAGGCGCCCTCAAAAGGAAAGTTTTTTTTTTTTTCTTTTAAAGGAAAGTTTTTAAGGAAGGAAGTGACCTGATGTTTCCTGTGTTTTAGGTGGGAGATAATGTAAATGTCTAAAAAGTGCCTTTCTTTCTTATGCATAGGACACCATGAAACTGCTGCCAGTCTTGGAGCCTGGAGACAAACCCAGGAAAGCAACATGGTCTGTAAGGAAGGATTCAGATAGAGAAGAACATAAGTTTTTGTTTCATTTTAAGTAGTTTACTAACATATTTGATCATCTATGAAAAAGGGTAGAGATGAAACTGTAGTTGCTGGTAATTAGACTCAAACTGAAAAAGTATTCTTTTTTTTTATTTTTTTTTTTTAATTTATGATAGTCACAGAGAGAGAGAGAGAGAGGCAGAGACACAGGCAGAGGGAGAAGCAGGCTCCATGCACTGGGAGCCTGATGTGGGATTCGATCCCGGGTCTCCAGGATCGTGCCCTGGGCCAAAGGCAGGCGCCAAACTGCTGCGCCACCCAGGGATCCCCTGAAAAAGTATTCAGATGAAAGGTAGTGGGGCAATAATTATCACAGAGCAGATGTTGATTTTATTAAAATCCATTTACTAGGAAGAGAAAGGCACTGACCATCTGGCATCCTCAGGTCCAACACTGTGTTTTCCCTCAAGCTGTGACTCACTTAAGATTTCCAAGGAAGTGGATTTGGATTAAACCGGCCTTATTCCTTCTCAACTGCTTGTTCAACCAACGTTTTATTCAACTAACACTGGCCTCTCAGGGGCATCTGCTGTATAGGTGCTAAAGGTTCAAAGGTGAAAAGTCTCAGCATAGTGGGGGCTGCACTCAGCAGGTGATGGTGAGGAAATGTAGTCAGTACTGAAGCAGAGCTCACAGAGGGCTGTAGGGAGGAGTCAATACTTCTGTAGGACCTTGGAGGAAGTCTTCCTGTTTGGCTTCCCTGCCTCCACTCTTGCTCTCTAGCCAACCTAACTCTGATCCTGGCATTTTCTGGTTTAAAACCCTTTTGTGCCTGATTTTTTTTTTTTTTTTAAGATTTTATTTATTTGTTTGAAAGAGAGCGTGCAAGTACACCACCAGCAGGGGACAGTGGAGGAGCAAAGGGAGAGGGAGACTAACTCCCTGCTGAGCAGAGAGCCCCACTTGGGGCTTGACATGGGGCTCAATCCCAGGACCCGGAGATCATGACCTGAGTTGAAGGCAGACGCTTAACCAACTGAGCCATCCAGGCACCCCTTGTGCCTCTTTGATATTAAGATAAAAAACGGAGGCCTTAAAATGGCCCCCTGGACCTTCTATGATCTGTCCCTACCTGTCTTTCCAACCTCAAGTATCCTAAATCATCCTTTGTTCTTTTTCTCTTCCTTAATAGCCCTTGCACCGCCCACTCTGGTGCTCTGTGTGCTAATCCTTACCTGGGTTGATCTTTCCCTCCATTTTTCATCCCTCTCTTTGCCTAGCTAACGTCTACTCATACTTCAGAGATCTGTTCAAATGGTGCTTCTTCAGGAAGCCTTCTCTGACCACCTCCTTCTCCTACCTCTCCTTATATAGGGTAAGATCCTCTTATGATATGTTCTTATACTACATATGCCTTGTACTTCTTTATCGCACAATTAAAATAAAATGGATATATGTGAAATTATACATTTAATGTTTCTCTTCCCCACTAGTCTGTAAGGGCTCTGAAGGCAGGATCTTTTCCTCTTATTCACCATGTATCTGGGTGGCTGTGTGCTCTTGGGTAAGTTATTTAATTTCTCTAAGTCTTGGGACTTCAGTTGTAAAAAGCAGATGATGATAACAGTACTGTCCTCAAAGGGGTTTTGTGCAGATTAAGGGAAACCTGGACTGAAACGAAGTTAACAGCAGGCATGGTACATTGTTAGTGATCATTCAGGTGATAATGGGATGTGCAAATCTGGTTATTAGAAGAAAGATCTGGAAAAGAAATAGAGACTTGGAAATCACTGATGAATATATAGGTGGGTGGTAACTGAAACCATCACTGCAGATGAACTTGATAGACTAACTAGATGTACACAAGAAGAGAAGAGAATCCAAGGGTATCAAGGCTTGGGAGACAGCTGATGGGAAAGGAATCAGAACAAGAAAACAAAAGAGCAGCCAGAAAGGTGGGTAGAGAACCAAAAGGAAGAGATGTGGGGAACCAGGTAAGAAGAAAGGTATGAGAAGGGATCAGGACTACCAAATGCCAGAGAGATCTAATGAGACAGGGCCTGAAAAATAGCTACAGAATTTTCTTTTCCAACCAGGAAGTCTTAAGTATGTTTTTATAGCCAGCTTTTAGAGTAACTTTAGAGGGGCACCTGGGTGGCCTAGTTGGTTAGGTGTCTGCCTTGGGCTCAAGTCATGATCTCAGGGTCCTAGGATCTAGCCCCCTGTTCTCTGTTCTGTAGGGGGGGGCTGCTTTTCCCCTGCTCTCTGCCTGTTGGCCACCCCTGCTTTTGCATACTCTGTCAAGTATAAGAATAGAAACATCTTTAAAAAAAAAAAAAAGAATAATTTTAGAGAATGGGATGGATGGATCCTATATTTGATTTTTTTAGTCCTAGCTCTGGATTCCATCAAGTTAAGCTTTATGAACAATCTGGGAAAACTCTTAACATCAATAAATTCTGGAGAATATTACTTGACGATGCATCACAGGCTAGTGGCAGGAGCTTTGGGGCTATAGGTTCCTAAGTGAGTGTACTTGAAGCTCTAGCCACCATTTATTGAGCCCTTCCCTGCCCTGTTACAAGACCTCATCTTGCCCTTCCCAGGTAAGAACTAGTGCCATCCTCATTTTATAAATGAGGAAACTAAGGAAGGCTTAAAAGGATGAAATGACTTCCAAAGGATCACACATCTCAAAAGCACCTGAATTGGGGCTTGAACCAGGTCTGCCTGAATTCACAAACTATGCTAATGGCTACTGTCTCATGCCAGGACACACCACCATACTTTTCTGGGTGTCAGTTTCCCCATCTCCCCAATAGGGACAATTACTAGTCCAGTGCAGCATCCCCACTAGGTTAACGTGAGACGAAGTAGTGACAAAATTGAAAAGTGAAAGGTTTTATGCAAATGGAGGATACTATTATTAATCATGGGAATACCACTTTGCTGGATATAACTGAAAGTGTGTGTGTGTTTGTGTGTGTGTATACAAGAGCCCTCGGTCTAGTGAATAATTCATGAGGAGTGGAGAGAACACACTGCTGCATTTATTCTCCACTCAGGTCTCCTGAATGCATCCTCCCTTTGGCAGGTACACCTTGACCCCCCCTGGAGACAGCCCCTGTGCTCGGGTTGGCCACAGCTGTTCATATTTACCCCCAGTTGGTGATGCCAAGAGAGGGAAGGTCTTCATTGTTGGGGGAGCAGATCCAAACAGGAGCTTCTCAGATGTGTACACCATGGATCTGGGTAAGACCAGCAGCTATGGAGCATGTGCCCTATCACCAGGGAGCAGAGCTTGTGCTATTGCCCATGACCAGAGCATTTGTAAGAACACCAGTGCAGACGAGATCACAGGGCTTTCGTCTAAGAAAATGAACATCACTGAGAAGTCCCTAACATTTCAGCAGACCTTTGGAATACATCTACCCATCCAATACCTTCTTTTTAAGGGCAACAAAGTCTGTTTAGAGCTCTGGACATCCAACCATTCCTTCATCAAATATTATTCTGGGAGACATTGATGGTTCCACTTCCTCTTCCATCCACATATCCAACTTCCATCCACATATCCAATTAATCACCAAGTCCTAAATGTCTCTATCTCCATCCGTATCTGTCCATTTCCCCTGCTACTACTATAGTCCAAGCATTAGTAATTCTCAACTAGACATTACAACAGTATCTTCTCTGGTCTCCCTGCTGCCAAGTTTACCCCTGTATGGTGCATTTTCTATACCCAGCTGGAGAGTATTGTCTAAATCTGACCATGTCACTCCCACGTTTCAAGCCTTTTCCCACTCATCTCTTGGCTCTCCCATTTCTTTGCTACACTAAGTAACCTTCAGTTCCTTGAACATGTATCAAACCTGGTCTCCAAGCTTTTTTTTTTTTTTAATTTTTTATTTATTTATGATAGTCACACAGAGAGAGAGAGAGGCAGAGACATAGGCAGAGGGAGAAGCAGGCGCCATGCAGGGAGCCCGACGTGGGATTCGATCCCGGGTCTCCAGGATCGTGCCCTGGGCCAAAGGCAGGCGCCAAACCGCTGCGCCACCCAAGGATCCCTGGTCTCCAAGCTTTTGCACATGTTGTTCCCTGTGCTTTGAGGGCTCTTCTCTTTCCTTATCACCTGACTATTCATCTTTCAGATCCCAGATTAACTGTCCCTGCCATCAGGAAGCTTTCCCTGATACTTCTGGACTAGTTTAGGCCTACAATTGGAAAGGAGAAACCATTCTGTTTTCCTTCTCTACTTGTACGTCTCCTCTCAACTCTAGTCTTAATACTTCATTTCTGGCCACCAAATATCCGAGTGTCTTTCCCCACACCAAGCAATTCTGCAACACCTGCTGAGTATCCTACAACTCCATTCAGTTCTGACAAGATCCACCTGGACTTAGCATCAGATCCCACCAGTTAAGGACTCAGTTCCGTAGGACTCTCCCACCCCTCTCCCACTCTAGACACTAACCGGAAGTTCAGGTCATTGTGTGTGCTTCTGACCTACCAACTATAAATCAGAGATACCCATGATCCCCTCCTTGGGTTCCATTAATTTGCTAGAGTGGCTCACAGAACTTAGGGAAATAGTTTACTAACTAGATCATTGGTTTATTATAAAGATACAACTCAGGAACAGCCAGTTGGAAGAGATGCATAAGGCAAGGTATGGGAGAAGGGTACAGAGCTTCCATACCCTCTGCAGGTGCACCATCCTCCTAGCACCTCCATGTGTTTACCAACCTGGATGCTCTCCAAACCCCTTCTGGGTTTTTCTGGAGGCTTTTTTACACAGGCATGATTGATTAATTTACTGGCCATTGGTGATTGATTCAACCTCTAGCCCCTCTGCCTTTCCCAGAGGTGGGAGGTGGGACTGAAAGTTCTAACCCTCTAATCATATGGTTGGTTCTCCTAGCTACCAGCCCCCATCCTTAGGGCTTTCCAGAAGTCACATCATAAACATAAACCCAGGTGTGGTTGACAGGGGCTTGTTTCATAAGACACTTTATTCAGTCTTACAATTTGCTAAATTCCAAGGGTTTTAAGAGCTCTGGGCCTGAGACTGACAATGATCACATATATATTTCCATTTTTTTTTCACATATATATTTCTTAATATAAATCACAATGTCATAACCACCCTCTATGTTTCCATAGTATTCTATAATTTCCCATTCTTATACCCCTTCACAGATCTTTTTTTTTTTTAAGATTTTATTTATTTATTCGTGAGAGACACACAGAGAGAGGCAGAGACACAGGAAGAGGGAGAAGCAGGCTCCATGCAGGGAGCCAGATGTGGGACTCGATCCTGGGTCTCCAGGATCACGCCCTGGGCTGAAGGCGGCGCTAAACCGCTGAGCCATCCGGGCTGCCCCCCCCTTCACAGATCTTACCACATGTGATTGTTTCTTGTCTGTCTTCCCCCACAAGAATGTAAGCGCTTTGGAAACAGGGAATATAGTTATATTATTCATCATTATATCCCCAGCCACGACTATAGTGCCTGGTACAGAGTAGATGTTTTTTTTTTTAATTTTTTTAAAATTTTTATTTATTTATGATAGTCACAGAGAGAGAGAGAGGCAGAGACACAGGCAGAGGGAGAAGCAGGCTCCATGCACCGGAAGCCCGATGTGGGATTCGATCCCGGGTCTCCAGGATCGCGCCCTGGCCAAAGGCAGGCGCCAAACCGCTGCGCCACCCAGGGATCCCAGAGTAGATGTTTTTAAAAAATTAATTAATTTCATTAGAGAGAAAGAGAGTGAGTGAGTGCACAAGAAAGGGGCAGAGAGAGAGGAAGAGAGAATCTTTAAGCAGGCTTTGTGCTTTGAGCATGGAGCCCCACAAAGGGCTCAATCTCCTGTCCCTGAGATCATGACCTGAGCTGAAATCAAGAGTCAGATGCTTAACTGACTGAGCCACCCAGATGCCCCCAGAATGGGTGCTTTTTAAGTATTTGGATGGATGGATGAATTAACGAATAAATGAAGAACGAACAAATGGTGACCACTCTGTGCTATACACAATGGCAGAAGAAAACCAGTGGCCCACATGCCTGTTTTGTTAGGCCCCTGTAACATGCTGTTATTATTTTAATCTAAGCTGTTCACCAACAAAATGTGTAAGGGTCTACATATAAAAATGGAAAAATGGTTTGGTTTCTCCTGATAATTTTGGGAGATCTGATGTCATAGGTCTACATGGCAACAGGAGAGCTGCTGCCAATCAGTGGGCTTCTCATCCCCCAATTTGCCACATTTCCTCCTATGTAGGCATTTGAATTTCTGCACCCAGCGCTAGGAAATCAAAGACAAATGAAATCTCTTCCAGCCCTTAAGGAACTCACTGTCTATTCACTTACATCTTTGAGGGACCCATTACTAGCTTTGTGACTCTGGCCAACCTGTCTAACCCATCTGGGCTTCAGTGTCTTGTAAAATGGGGATAATAACTTACATCCCTTGGCAGTTGTGAACTTGGTTAGCCAGGAATCATTTAGTTGCAGGTAACAGAAACTCTCTTAAACTGGCAAAAAAAAAAAAAAAAGAAGAAGAAGAAGAAGAATCCAAACATAGGAAATACAGCCTAGTCTCAGGAGAGAGTAGATGCAGGAATTGGAAAATTGTCAAAAACCATCTACTTTCTCCCTCACTCTCTCTGGGGAGATCTGCTTCTTTGGGTGGATGCTACTTTTTCTCTTCTCCATACCTTGGCTGTAGCTACTTCTCTACACATGATGGAAGAAATCCAGAAATTTTGTTTGAATTCTAGCTTCTCTGGAGGGAGGATCTGATTGACCCATTTTGGGTCAAGTGACTCTCCTTGACCCAATCCACTGAGGCCATGAAGTGAAGGTGTTATAGTACAAACAGGTCTCCTGGGATCTCTACCCCAGTGGTTGAGAGAATGGGGATAGTTTCCCTAAAGGAAGGTTTATGGACCGGGCAGACAGCCCCTGAAGTTCTATTATAGAACTTTTTCAGAATTTGACCATATTCCCTACAAGTGATTTTTTGGTAGTTCATTTATACCTTTGACCCTTTTCTCCTCACTACCCGCCCCCCAGATTTATCAACCGATATAGGCAATTGGCAGGTTCAATGTAGGGACTGAGTGAAATGTCTTCTAGGAACACACCGGTGGGACTTAGCCACCTCGGAGGGCCTTTTGCCCCGGTACGAGCACGCCAGCTTCGTTCCCTCTTGCGCCCCTCATACCATCTGGGTGTTTGGAGGTGCTGACCAGTCAGGAAATCGAAATTGCCTACAAGTTCTGAATCCTGGTAAGTAATCAAAGGTTATTTCATTTACCTAAATAAGGAAATAAATCCAATTCCATTTCCTGTAGCAAAATTCATTTGGATTGTCTTGCATAATTCATTTAACTTTGTTGACCTCATAGAAAATAAGAATTTAAAAAGAAAAAAGAAATTTTTTTAAAGATTTTATTTATTTAGGGGTACCTGAGTGGCTCCATGGTTGAACATCTGCCTTTGGCTCAGGTTGCGATCCTGGGGTTCTGAGATAGAGAACCACATCGGGCTTTCTGCAAGGAGCCTTTTTCTCCTTGTGCCTATGTCTCTGCCTCTCTGTGTATCTCATGAATAAATAAATAAAATCTTAAAAAAAAAAAGGATTTTATTTATTTATTTGAGAGAGAAACTGAGAGAGCATGAGCAGGGGAGAAAGGAGCAGAGAGAGAGAGTGAGAAGCAGACTCCCCGCTGAGCAGGGAGCCTGACACAGGGCTCCATCCCAGTACCCTGGGATCATGAGCTGAGCCAAAGGCATACTCTTAACCAACTGAGCCACCCAGGCACCCAAAAATAGGAATTTTAACTTCTGGCAGAATCTGAAAATAATAGAATTACATCTCCCCCTCTGCTTTATAACATGCACAATTATCAACTTCTTTTTTTTTTTTTTAAGATTTTATTTATTCATGAGAGACACACACACACACACACACAGAGAGAGAGAGAGAGAGAGAGAGAGAGGCAGAGACATAGGCAGAGGGAGAAGCAGGCTCCATGCAGGGAGCCTGATATGGGACTCGATCCTGGGACTCGATCCCAGAACTACAGGACCATGCCCTGGGCCAAAGGCAGGCGCTAAACTACTGAGCCAACCAGGGATCCCCCAATTATCAAGTTCTTAAAAGCCAAAGCTAGAAGAAACTTCAGAGAAAGCTATGGCAAGTGGGCGACCAAGGGAAATGACTTTCCTAAAGTCACCAAGGAGTTAGTGACTAAGCCAGCCTAGAACCTGTCACCTAGATCCTAGATCAGGGGTCTCATATGGGGGCGATTATGTCCCTACGGGGATTTTTGGCCATGTCTGGACACATTTTTGGTGATCAAGCACAAGGTGTGGGGGGTTACTACTGGCATCTAGTGGGCAGAGGCCAGAGATGCTGCTCTCCATTCTGTAATACACAGGACAGCTCCTCATAAGAGTGAATTATCTAGTCTCAAATGCCAATAATGCCAAAGTTAGAAACCCTGACCTAGATCCTCCTATTATGTTTCTTTTAGCCAAACAGTGCAAAGTTCCTGTCTAGTCTCACCAGCAGTTTTATCACCAATGCAGCAGTTTAGGAAGATCTTTTTTGAGGGGAATGTTCCTGAACCACCATGGGAAGTGGGCTTGTCTTTTTGCTAAAAATTGCAATTAACAGGGACTCCTGAGTGGCTCAGGAGTTGAGCATCTGCCTTTGGCTCAGGGCATGATCCTCGGGTCTGGGGATTGAATCCCACATCGGGCTCCCTGTGAAGAACCTGCTTCTCCCTCTGCCTATGTCTCTGCCTCTCTCTTTCATAAGAAAATGAATAAAATCTTTAAAAAAAAATACAGTTAACAAGGCTCCTGGGTGGCTTGCTTGAACATCTTTCTGCTCAGGTCGTGACCCCTGGGTCCTAGGATCCAGCTTCATTTTGGGGGTCCCTGCTCAGTCTGCTTCTCCCTCTGCTGCTCCCCCTGCTCATGCTCTCTCTCTCTCTCTTTCTCTGCCAAATAGATAAATAAAATCTTTATTTAATTTTTTAAGATTTTATTTATTCATTCATTAGAGACACAGATGTCTCTGCCACAGGCAGAGGGAGAGGCCAGCTCCATGCAGGAAGCCTGATGCAGGACTTGATCCGCCCAGGATCACAATCTGAGCCAAAGGCAGATTGGCTCAACCACTGAGCCACCCAGGTTCCCAATAAATAAAATCTTTAAACAAAAATAAAAATTACAATTAAAAATTTTTGTTTTCTCCTTTTAATTTCATAATTACTATAGAAATGGTTTCCTATTAACATTGTTTTAACATCACTTTTAATGGCTGAATGACACTTCATTTTGTGATAATACCATAATTTAGTTTGTTTTCACATTTTTACCATTATAAATGTATTTTTTTAATTTTTATTTATTTATGATAGTCACAGAGAGAGAAAGAGAGAGAGGCAGAGACATAGGCAGAGGGAGAAGCAGGCTCCATGCACCGGGAGCCCGACGTGGGGTTCGATCCCGGGTCTCCAGGATCGCGCCCTGGGCCAAAGGCAGGCGCCAAACCGCTGCGCCACCCAGGGATCCCACATTTTTACCATTATAAATAACAAAGTGTAAGCATCTCTGTTCAGAAGTCATTGACAATTATTTACTTAGAATTCATGCCCAGAAAGAAAAAGACCAACTAAAACACTATGAACTTTAAGGCTTTAGATACATGCTACCAATGGCTCTCCAGAGTTTTCCAACTGCTTCTCTCTCCAGCTGTATGTAATCTTCACTCCTGACTGGTGTTGAATTTCTTTTTTTTTTAAAGCAGGCTCCACACCCAGTGTGGAGCTCAACATGGGGCTTAAATTCACAACCCTGAGATCAAGAGTTGGATGCTTAACCAACTGAGCCATCCAGGCACCCCAAGATTTTGTTTTTAAGTAACCTCTGTACCTAGTATGGGGCTTGAACTCACAAACCTGATATCAAGCGTCACATGTTCCACTGACTGGGCCAGCCAGGCACCCCCAAATTTATCATTTTTTAAACACTGCTAATTTGATAAGCAAAAAAACTTATTTATTTATTTTTTTTGAAGATTTTATTTATTTATTCATGAGAGACGCAGAGAGAGGCAGAGACACAGGCAGAGGGAGAAGCAGGCTCCATGCAGCGAGCCTGACGTGGGATTTGATCCCGGGTCTCCAGGACCACGCCCTGGGCTGAAGGCAGCGCTAAACCGCTGAGCCAGCCAGGTGTCCAGCAAAAAAAAACTTATATCTCGTTATTTAAATATGCATTTTGTTAACAATTAGTAACCTGGATATTTTTCATATGACAGTCAACTCTTGCCAGTGCTCTATCAGTAAGATGCTTGTTTGCAAATAGTTGGTCTTCTGTCACATTGGGATAATAATAGTTCTTACCTTGTCAAGTTTGGCAATGATTTAAAGTAACTCAGTATCTGGCACATAGTTAATGCTCAATAATTGTTGTTGTGGTTGATGTAGCTATGGTTTGGCAGATGGAAATCAGTTCTGGATCCCTGGCCTTTTGATTTTCAATGATGGCATCCATTTGAATAAAATACAGAAAATTTCGAAAGCCTCTGTCAAAAGGAATTGATTTTCTACCAGATCCCATTTCTCTCCTAGAAAGTATAATTTAACAGCATGCCCAAGAAATATGAAAATGTGAATCATTAGCTATTTTGTTACTAAGGCCAGTCTGTCAAATGGCTTAGGACTCCTTTGTGAATATTTGTGCTAGGTGTTTTGACTTGGCAGCAACTCAATCCCAGGCTTTTCTGATTCTGGAGGTCGTGTACTTTCTAACTCCCAGATTCTAACTCTTAAGATCCAAAAGCTCTCCAAGATCCATAGCTATAGAGATGATTATTATATTTTGCTTTGGATATAGGCTGAGACTTGTTTCATATCCAGGTTCATGTTTGAGTCTCATGCATATTACAGATGCTTCCTATGGCACTCTGTATACTGAATGAAGACCTTTACAAATGGCACAGAATTTCCTAGGCAAGAAATAATTCCTGGTGTGTTGTGGTGGCACGAGTGTGGGGATCTTGACAGATCTGAGTTCATGCTTCTGCTCTGCTACTCACTAGCCCTGCAACCTGGGGGAAGAATTTAAGTTTTCTGAGCTTCAGTTACCTCATCTGCAATATGAGGGTACTTTCCAGAGACTTGAGTGGGGAGGAAAGACCAAGTGCTAAGGACAATCATTCTGTACCAAGCAGGTGCTCAATTAATCTGTTTTTATAAAACTCATGCTATATTCTAAAAAAAAAAAAAAAAAAAGATAAGCTTCTTTGCACCTTCCCAAGTGGATAAATTTTATTCTCGTCAGAAGAGTGGAAAATACATAGATCTTGGTGTTTTCAAAATGGAATCTGAATCCCAACTCAGCCATTTATTAGCCATGTCTCTTTATTTTTATTTTTAGTTTTTTTTAAGATTTTATTTATTCATGAGAGAAACAGAGAGGCAGAGACATAGGCAGAGGGAGAAGCAGGCTCTTCACAGGGAGCCTGACGTGGGACTCGATTCCCAGACTTGGGATCACGCCCTGAGCTGAAGGCAGATGCTCAACTGCTGAGCCACCCAGGCACCCCATTTTTTTTTAATTTTTATTTATTTATGATAGAGAGAGAGAGAGAGAGAGAGAGAGAGAGAGAGAGAGGCAGAGACACAGGCAGAGGGAGAAGCAGGCTCCATGCACCGGGAGCCTGACGTGGGATTCGATCCCGGGTCTCCAGGATCGCGCCCTGGGCCAAAGGCAGGCGCCAAACCGCTGTGCCACCCAGGGATCCCTCATTTTTAAGATTTTATTTATTTATTTGTTTGTTTGAGAGTGAGACAGCATGAGCAGGGGGAGGGGCAGAGGGAGAAGCAGACTCCCCACTGAGCAGGAAGCCTGACTTAACTAAGCCTGGCTTAACCTGAGCTGAAGGTAGATGCTTAACTGACTGAGCCACACAGGCACCCCTATTTTATTTTATTTTAGATTTTTTAAGTAAATCTCTATATCCATTGTGGGGCTCAAATCCACAACCTCATGATCAAGAGTTGCATGCTACTCTGGCTGAGGCAGCCAGGCACCTCTAGCCATGTCACTTTAAACAAATGACGTCATCTGTCTCTGCTTCAATTCTCTTATCTGTAAAATGAAGAAACTAATATTTACTTAGCATTTACTATTTAGAGGGAGCTATTATTATTACTACTGACACTATGATAACTTTGTTTTCTTTTTGTTTTTTTAAGATTTTATTCATTCATTTAAGAGAGAGACACACACACAAAGATAGTACAAGCAGGGTGTAGGAGAGTCAGAAGGAGAGGAAGAAGCATATTCCTCGCTGAACAAGGAGCCTGACTTGGGCTATCCAGAGATCATGACCTGAGCCAAAGGCAGACTCTTAACCTTCTGAACCATCCAGGCACCCCTGTCTATTTTCTTTTAATGGCCACATATTCTGGGAAATTTGGCACAGTTAGATCTACCCTCTCAGAGAGGACGTTCAAAGGAAGATCTCTAAAAACAAATCGACCTAATTTTTAATTGAGCGTGTGACTTTTCAATCTTGGGGATTTGACTCTATCTGGGAAAATTCTCACTATCACCCTCTCCCCCTCCTTGACTTGGGTGGTATGCGAACCCCACCTAAATCTCTACTGTCCCTCTTGGGGTTGGAGGTGTGATCAAGATCAGAGGTCCATCAGCTTGGATATCTTAGGCTCCTGCCTTCTCTCTGGACCAGAAACCAGGACTTGGACCATGCCAGAGGTGACCAGTTGTCCACCATCCCCAAGAACATTGCACACATCATCTGCAGCCATTGGAAACCAGCTGTATGTCTTCGGGGGTGGAGAGAGAGGTGCCCAGCCCGTACAGGATGTGAAGCTGCATGTGTTTGACGCAAGTATGGACTAGTGCACACAAGAGGGCTGCCACTTAGCAGGTCAGAGCCACCCTCGCCTACAGCTTACCTGATATAGGAGGCAGAGGTTAAAAAATGACATTTTGTATGAGTGTCTCACTTCTATATGTCTTAGATGTGTCCCTTAGCTAATATCTTCTTCCCACAGCAAAATTTGCATTTAAGAAGATATAAATGATCAATTTAAAATATTTAAATGGTGTAACTTATAAAGCAAAAGAGTGAAAGTATCCCCTTTAGCTTTTCCTTCCCACTCCTCAAACAGGTAAAAACTGTTAGCAGTTCCTAATGTCTCCTTCCAGATTTCCCTTTGCATTTATACATCATACATATGTGTAAATGGACACTTAAGAATTTTCTGCTAATTTGATGGGGATCCCTGGGTGGCTCAGCGGTTTAGTGCCTGCCTTCGGCCCAGGGTGTGATCCTGGAGTCCCGGGATCGAGTCCCACATCGGGCTCCCTGCATGGAGCCTGCTTCTCCCTTCGCCTGTGTCTCTGCCTCTCTCTCTCTGTGTCTGTCATGAATAAATGAATAAGATTTAAAAATAAATAAATAAATAAATAAATAAATAAATAAATAAATAAATAAATAATTTTTTAAAAAAAAGAATTTTCTGCTAATTTGAAATTATATAAGAACTTCAAACACATACCTGGAATCAAATTTTAAATATAGTTCTATAGCTTACTTTTGCAGGGATGACGCTAAATCTCAGTAGGTGAAAGCTTGTACTTTGAAGCCACCTGAGCTCAGGACTAAATCTGATACATACTTTCTGTATTTCAACTAGTTAATCTCTCCAGGTCTTAGCCTGCTGATCTATAAAATAGAAATAGTAATAGTGCCTACTAAAAGACCTGGAAAGATTAAATGAGATAATGTGATATATTGCATAGCACAATGCCTGGCATATAGGGAGCACCTCAGGAGTATGAACTGTTATAATCCCTTCATTTAATCATATCATGGGTGTCAGATTCTAAATCAGTACCAATTTCCTTTCAGAGCGTATCCTATGGGTATTTCTTATTCATTCATTTTCCTACTGATTGACTTTTTGCTGACAGTGTTAGAGTGAATATATACCTTAATTTTTGTATGTGTTACAAACATTTATATGGAGTAGATACCGAGGAGTGGAATTACTGGGTGAAAATGATATAAACATTTAGAATTATGAGACTCTTACCAAATTTTTGTTTAAGGAGCATTTATTTGCATTTCTTCCTCTTACTAGTAGGTATTTATGAATAACACTTTACAAATAACATGACAAAAATAGTTTTCATGTGTGTTTTTCATGAGAGATGCAGCCTTTTTTGAGAAGGTGCAATAAGCAAAATTTCAAACTTACAAAGTAAAATTAGAAGAATGAAGACACATCCCACTATGACTTTTCTCTTTCCTGAAAGAATGTGCTTTGCAATTCTTTTAAAGCAGTTTTTATTTTTTTTATTTTTATTTTTAAAGATTTTATTTATTTATGAGAATACACAGAGAGGAGACAGAGAGATAGAGGCAGAGACAGAGGCAGAGGGAGAAGCAGGCTCCATGCAGGAGGCCAATGGGGGACTCGATCCCGGGTCTCCAGGATCAGGCCCTGGGCTGAAGGCAAACGCTAAACCACTGAGCCACCTGGGCTGCCCTAAAGCATTTTTTAAAATGTTAAATAATGTTGGTTTTGAACACATGAAACTCTAAGGAATGAGGAAAAATGTATATATATGTATACTATATGTATATATGTATATATAAAATACTGTAACTCCAAAATTATTAACATCTCAGCGTGTTTCCAATTTTTCTTTTAGTTTTTGACTTTTTTTTTTTAAAGATTTTATTTATTGGGATCCCTGGGTGGCGCAGCGGTTTGGCGCCTGCCTTTGGCCCAGGGCGCTTTCCTGGAGACCCGGGATCGAATCCCACGTCGGGCTTCCGGTGCATGGAGCCTGCTTCTCCCTCTGCCTGTGTCTCTGCCTCTCTCTCTCTCTCTCTCTGTGACTATCATAAATAAATAAATAAATGAAATAAAATAAAAGATTTTATTTATTTATTCATGAGAGACACAGAGAGAGGCAGATACATAGACAGAGGGAGAAGCAGGCTCCCTGCGGGGAGTGTGATGTGGAACTCGAGCCCAGGAGCCCGGGATCACAACCTGACCCAAGGGCAGATGCTCAACCACTGAGCTACTCAGGTGCCCCTCCAATCTTTTTTTTTTTAAATGGCAGAGATGGGGCACCTGGCTGTCTCAGCTGGTAGAGCATGAGACTCAATCCTGGGATCGTGAGATTGAGCCCCATGTTGGGGGTAGAGTTTACTTAATAAAAATAAATAAATAAAAATTTAAAAACAAAGATAATTCTATATGTAATATTTGTATCCTATATTTTTCACTTAAGCACTTTCCCTGTGATCATGAAGTCTTCAACATTTTTATTTGTTTGGTTGGTTTTTTGTTTGTTTGAAGTAGGCTCCACGCCCAATGTAGGGCTTGAACTGACCCTGAGATCAAGAGTAACATGCTCTACTGGCCAGCCAGCCAGGTGCCTCAATCTTCAATATTTTATTTTATTTTATTTATTTTATTTTATTTTATTTTATTTTAAAGATTTTATTTATTTATTCATGAGAGATACAGAGAGAGAGAGGCAGAGACACAGGCAGAGGGAGAAGCAGGCTCCATGCAGGGAGCCCGATGTGGGACTCGATCCCAGGTCTCCAGGGTCACACCCTGGGCTGAAGGCAGGCGCTAAACCGCTGAGCCATCCAGGGATCCCAATCTTCAACATTTTAAAATAAATACATAGTATTCTATCATGATTGCAGCAATAACAACCACTCACCTATTGGTGCACTGAAGCTACTTTCAGAGTTTCTCTATTACAAACAATGCTGTGATGAACATGTTTGTGCATAATAATTTTTCAGATTATTTCAGATTGTGTTCCTTCGAACAGTGGGGCTCCATTCACAACCTCAGGCATGCCACAAATAGTAATTCTAACACAAACTTTCGTGTTCTGAGTACTTTCTCTGAGCTTATGCTTTATGTACATCATCTCATTTAATCCACACTTCAACTGGAGAGCTAGGTATTCTCTTTATCCCCATTTTACAACTGTAAAAACTAGAGCTTAGGGAATCACTGATGCTAGGCACAAAGTTATTCAGTGAAATGACCTTGTTTTAACGCCACAGCCTGTGTTGTAACTCTTATCCCGTACTGACTACTTCAAAAGTAGTCTTTTTCCGCCATGCTTCCAGCAAATCAATTAAAGATATTGTCTTGAAAAAGGAGGACTCTGAAGGCCTGTCACAGAAGAACCAAACTTGTTCTTTTAAACTCTGGGGCAGTTCCAGGTTGAAGCTTTTAAAATTCAAAACAAGGAATGGCTTCCTAATGCCCAGTAGAAGGAGCAGGCATGTTAGACAGTGAATTCTCCAGCCCTGGAAGTGTTCAAGCAGAGTCTCTACAGGCTGTAGAAAAAGGGAGAACTGGATTGGGTTGGCAAGTTGGAGTGAATAACCCCACTGTCACTTTCTGCTTTGAGCATCTCAGCTTGCTGGAAAGTGAAGCTTGGGTCTATTTTCTCATGTTCTTGCTTCTTAGCTTTTTCATCTGTTGTCAATGAATTTACTTTTCTAGACAGTCTGACCTGGTCACAGCCAGAGACACTTGGAAAACCTCCATCCCCCCGGCATGGTCATGTGATGGTGGCAGCAGGGACAAAGCTCTTCATCCATGGAGGCTTGGCAGGAGACAAATTCTATGATGATCTCCATTGCATTGATATACGTAAGTAGGATAGAGGGCGTAAGGGCTTTTCTGCTTAAAATTAATTAAAATATGCTTTGATAGAATATAGCTTCACTCATAAGTGTGGGTAAGTTGACCAGCCAGCAGAATCTTAGCTAGATTTGACAGATTTCTGTCAAATGTGGCCTGAATAATAATACCAATGAAAGCAATCATTTTCCGAGTGTACTCGCTATGTGCCCAGCCATTAATTATCTCTTATGCTTCCAACAACCCTGCTCTTTCATTAAAATTCATTATGCTTGGGTGGCCCAGGTGGCTCAGCAGTTTAGCACCCGCTTCAGCCTAGGGCCTGATCCTGGAGATCCAGGATCGAGTCCCACGTCGGGCTTCCTGCATGGAGCCTGCTTCTCCCTCTGCCTGTGTCTCTGCCTCTCTCTCTCTCCCTCTCTCTCTCTCTCTCTGTCGCTCATTAATAAATAAATAAAATCTTAAAAAAAATTCATTATGCTTTGTATTCTCTGACTGCCATTAATCATTAACCGTATGCTCATAAGGGGCATGGATAATTTTGAATGTGTCCGGTGGTTGGTGACCAGAATTACCATGCTAAATGGTTAAAAACACCAGAAAGAGGAGTTAGGGAGAATGTGAGAATTGTCCATAGGGTCTGAAGGGCTGACATGTCCTAGAGATCCTGGACTCATTCTGGGTCATTCTTTCAGACTATGAGCTCCCTTAGGGCTGGGGTTTTGTCTCTTTTGTTCCTCTCCAGTATATTTCCAGCACTTAACACAGTGTCTGGTAGATTGAGGGGGATGACTACATATCTTGAGTGGACAAATAAATGTCTTTTGCGTTGCTCCAGACTACAAGAATTGGAACAGTGGGCAGAAGGCAGGAGAACTGCTGTGTAGTTTATTGGGCTACCTTGCCCAACAATGGATTCTGTGGCTTGGTGACATCTGAGGCTAGGCGACACTGGCTGGGATTATTATATTGGCAAGAGTTTTGGCTACACTGGGTAATTCTCCCTTCCAACTCTGAGATGCTGGGTCCCTGCCTTGAATTGACAGATGGAAAATATCTTCACAGAAGTGTTCCTTGCAGCAGTCAAATGGAGTTTTAATGCATATTTTAAAAGAGAAAGTCCTTTACTCCCTTGCACTGAGGAACTACTTCCTGGCTATTTCTCACCCTTTCCTACCCCAGTAATTCTCTAAACCTAAAATTCAATAATATCTTGCTTCATTTCAATGTTTGTTTGAAAAGATGCAAATATCTTTGCAGAAATAGTTTGGGAGCAGGTGCTTGAAGCAGCACATAAAGTGTGGAGAACACAGGTTCTAGCATCAGACTTGATTATCATTCTAACTGTGCAGATTGCTGGCTGTGAGATCTTAGACAACGATTTCCCTCTTTGATGCTGTTTCTTCACCAGGAAAAAGAAAGAGAGTAGGCAGAAGTAATAGCAGCTTCATAGGACTGTTTTCGAGCAAGCAAAATATTTAAAGTGTCTAGCCAGCACTCACAAAACTTGCTTTCTAAGGAACTGATAGTATTTAAAAAGCAGACACACAGACATGGAACTTAACTCCTTCCGGGCTCCAAATTGGTAAATGGTGACAGTCACCAAAGATATTATTCAGTGTGCTCCAAAGACCATTTACATCAGACTCACCTGAGATACTTGTTAAAACTATAGAGTACTGAGCTCCTCCTCCCTCCCTGGACACCCAAACAGAATTTCAAGCTTCCCCAGGTAATTTCTGTGCAAATTAAACCTTGCTATATTACCTCTCACGGTGCTTTGTGAATGACCTTCAGTGAGTGGTTTGCCCACTGCAAGAGTCTGACAGGTAAGGTTGAGTCCATATTCTGGGTCATGTTGTACCCACTTTCTTTCTCTTGGCAGGTGATATGAAGTGGCAGGAGCTAAGTCCCACGGGGGCACCTCCCACAGGCTGTGCTGCCCACTCAGCTGTGGCTGTAGGGAATCACCTGTACATCTTTGGAGGGATGACTCCCACAGGAGCACTGGATACAATGTACCAGTATCACATAGGTGAGCAGGTGTTCACCGTGGGTCTTTAAACAAATGTTTAAACAAATATGACCAGGATGCCTGGGTGGCTCAGTGGTTGAGCATCTGCCTTTGGCTCAGGTCATGATCCCGGGGTCCTGGGATTGAGTCCTGCATCGGGCTCCCCACAGGGAGCTTGCTATCCCCTCTGCCCATGTCTCTGCGTCTCTCATGAATGAATAAAATCTTTTAAAAAATAAAATAAAATAGGGCAGCCCCGGTGGCTCAGCAGTTTAGCGCCGCCTTCAGCCCAGGGCCTGACCCCAGAGACCGGGGATCGAGTCCCCCTGCAGGGAGCCTGCTCCTCCCTCTGCCCGAGTCTCTGCCTCTCTCTCTCTCTCTCTGTGTGTGTCTCTCATGAATAAATAAATAAAATCTTAAAATAAATAAATAAATAAATATGACCATTCTTTGGAAAGTATCACAGTACTTTGGTTTTTCCCTTTGTATCTAAATCCAAAGGAATGAAAACCAGACTTCTAGGGAATGACATCATGAAAGCAGTAACACTGTCATTAGATGTTTTTTTAAAGATTTATTTTAGAGAGCATGAATGGGAGGTGCAGACGGAGAGGGAGAATCCCTAGCTGACTCCACACATTGCTGGTTGCACAGCTCAGTCTCACAACCCTAAGATCAGGACCTGAGCCAAAACCAAGAGTCAGATGCCTAACCCACTGTGCCACCCAGGCGCCCCAGATTTTTTTTTTTCTTTTATTTCCTATTTCTGTTAAGGCTGCTAAAGCAAATCATTGTACATTTCTGGAAATTTCTTAACACAGAGCCTGTGTATTTGTCTTTTTTCTAACATAGAAAAGCAGCATTGGACCTTGCTTAAATTTGATACTTTTCTACCCCCTGGACGATTGGATCATTCCATGTGTGTCATTCCATGGCCAGTGATGTGTATGTCTGAGAAAGAAGATTCAAATTCTGCCACTCTAAACTATGATACTGAGGAAGGGGATTCCACCGACCAAGGAGTGACACAAGGTGGTGACTCACACGAGGAAAGCCAGACTGACACACTGCTCTGTTTTGTGTTTGGCGGGATGAATACAGAAGGGGAAGTCTATAGTGACTGTATTGTGACTGTAGTTGACTAATAAATCCCACATTTTTATTAAATGACAATCTTTCAGCAAAGTCAAATGAAGCCTTAACTGTTTTATCCCTCCCAAAATATTTTCTGCACTATATATTCCTCTTACCTACTTTGGTAGGTGAAGAAATGGATACCCCAGGGCAAAAACCTCTATTAAAAGGTTTTACCAGCAATTCAGCCCAGGTAAATGTGATTGCTTCAGAATATTGAGCACAGAGGAACGCCTAACTGGCTTCATCAGAATATGCGACGCTTGATCTCAGGATTCTAAGTTCAAGCCCCACATTGGGTGTAGAGATTACTTAAAATGTTAAAAAAAAAAAAACCACAAAAATATTGCAGAATTAAACTGTATAAATTAGGGAGTAGACTAACAGGTTTAAGTCTATCTTTGTAGTATTCAGTAGCTGCTCTCTAGAAAGAAGTGCAGCCTGTTGGCATTTGGTACTGAGAGCCACTGGGGACAGAGATGAAGACTGTCCCTTGTCTTTCCCAACCACCTGCCAACTCCACAACACACAGCAGGTCATCTTTAATGTTTGTATTGAACTTGACCTGAAGACCTTTGGTATTACACTGCAGGCTTGTTCAAATACTTCTGGGAGGGGCCTGGGCCTCGGAGTAAAATAATCATGCCATCAGGTTCCAGTTCTGCCACAGTTAGCAAATTAACCTTTAAGCTGGTTGCCCACCTATAAAATATTTATCCTTGAGCAGTATTGGGTTTATTAGTACCAGAGAGCCTGCTCTTTATTGATCACACAAAATTATCCATTTAGATCATCCCTTTCCTCAGGAAGCCAATCTAAGTAATCTTGAACCTCTTTTGATACAAATACTGCCTTAGATCCACAATTGTAGCAGGGCTTCAAGTAGTTTCAGGGTCACCATCCTAGACCCCACTTCAGACCAGTAAGGAGAAATTCCAGAGATGGAGATTCTGACACAGCAAAGGTTTTAAAATACATCTTTAGATCCTAAAATTATGAACTGAATCCAAGTGTATAAAGTTAACATCAGTGACCCATCACTCATAGCAAGTCTCAGAATTCTAGCAGCTATAAAGTGTTAGTAATAAAAAGCCACCATAAAGTTTTAAAGGGGAAATCAGAAATTTCAACTATGTTCAAGAAAATTCCACTCTTGGACATTGTAAAATGGCCCTTGCTTATTAGGTAAGGTGGTTTCTTATCTTTCTTGCCCCCTGCTTTTAAGATTTATTTTGTGGGGGAGGGGGTGCCAGCACAGAGGGACAGGGAGAGTCTCAAGCAGACTCGATGCTGAGCATGGAGCCTGACATGGGGCTCAAGCTCATAACCCTGAGATCACAACCTGACCCCAAACCAGAAGTCAATCACTTAGCAGGCTGCACCACCCAGGTGCCCCTCCTGTCCTTTTTTGTTTCTAAAGATTTTACTTTTGAAGGGGAGGAGGGAGTAGTTGGGAGGGGCAGAGACAAGCCAACATGGGGCTTGATTGCATGACACTGAGATCATGACCTGAGCTGAAATCAAGTCAGATGCTCAACCGAGCCCCCCCTGCCCCTTTCTTAAACTAGATTGTAAGGCAATTTCCCTGAAAAGTATTAGATAAAAATGTTTCTTTACCTCAAAACTCCAACTCCCTCCACACAAGTGGGAATATAACCTTGAGGCAAATGACTTAATTAGAAGCTTATCACAAAAATTAGACCAGTGTAAATAACAAACATTTATTGGTGTCACTTATGGTAGAAAAAGTTCCTACACCACATGTGCATGACGCAATTGTTAAATAGAACATTTCCAAGGTGAACACACGCCCTAAAACCAGCTTTTTTACCCACTTTTTAAGATAGCCAATTCTTCCTTTCCCCCCACCCCAAGACATGTGAGCAACTGCTAATGAAAAGCAGTAAACAGCCACTTGGGCTATAGCATTTTCAACTCCACTCCAAGGTGAAGATTCCAATTACATTCGAGACTTAAGTTCTCTCAATTTTCTCCTAACGAAAGTTCCTGAGTCCAGTATTTACAATATTACAGCACTAGCAGAGCAATGTCTACAACTCATCTTTGTCTGCTGGTTCCTCATCACCAGTTGGGGGAGGGCCTGCACTTCCATAGAGTTTGCTGATAATTGGCTGAACAATTTCTTCCAGTTCCTTCTTTTTAGCCTTGAAATCTTCAATGTCAGCATCTTGGTGACTTTCTAGCCATTCAATCTTTTCCTCTACAGCTTTTTCCATGGTCTCCTTATCTTCAGAGGAGAGTTTACCTCCCAGCTTTTCTTTATCTCCAATCTGATTCTTTAGAGAATAGGCATAGCTTTCTAATTCATTTCTAGTATCAATGCGCTCCTTGAGCTTTTTGTCTTCCTCGGCAAACTTCTCAGCATCATTAACCATCCTTTCAATTTCTTCAGGTGTCAGGCGATTTTGATCATTGGTAATTGTGATCTTATTTTTGTTGCCCGTACCTTTGTCTTCAGCGGTCACGCGAAGAATGCCATTCACATCTATCTCAAAGGTGACTTCAATCTGTGGGACTCCACGAGGAGCAGGAGGAATTCCAGTCAGATCAAAAGTTCCCAGGAGGTGATTGTCTTTTGTCAGGGGTCGTTCACCTAGAAGTTACACCAAAAAAAACACTTGTTATTACTGACAAACATTAGTACATCTGAATACTTACACTTCAGTCTGTTAGAGCTTACAGTGGCAAGGGCATGCTTATCAAGCTAAAAGTGGATATTGATCTATAAGGAGTAGCAAGTGAGACTATGTTAAGTTACTACTAACCTTTTTTTTTTTTAAGATTTTATTTATTTATTTATTTATTTATTTATTTATTTATTTATTTATTTATTTATTTATGAGAGAGACAGAGACAGAGGCAGAGACAGAGGCAGGGGGAGAAGCAGGCTCCATGCAGGGAGCCTGATACGGGACTCAATCCTGGGACTCCAGGATCACGCCCTGGACTGAAGGCAGGTGCCAAATCGCTGAGCCACCCAGGCGTCCCTATGTTACTACTAACTTTTAATTGAACTTCATCTACATCATTATGAACTTTTCTTATTGCATTTTAAGAGCCAGCTCAGAAGTTATCTTTATAGACAAACAGTGCCAGATAGGTAGGTAAGAACTAGATTTGGGGCTGACTCTACCAAACTGAACACTAGTCATATTGGGGAACCCTCATCTGAAGACAGCAGCTGTTTCTTTCTGTCCTCATTTCAATAGAATATATTAAGAAGTCATGCTTTTCAAAAACATACTATGTCATTAACAAATGTAGGGTATTACCTTCATAGACCTTGATTGTAACAGTTGGTTGGTTATCAGAGGCTGTAGAAAAGATCTGAGACTTCTTGGTGGGCACCACAGTGTTCCTTGGAATCAGTTTGGTCATGACACCTCCCACAGTTTCAATACCAAGTGTAAGGGGACATACATCAAGCAGTACCAGATCACCTACAAAGGTAAGTTAACCAATGTTAAGTTCTAATTCAAGGGTCACAGGAGCACTACCAAGCAGTCTCCCCCTGAATTATTTAACTTTATCTTCTCCATCGTGCCATTTAATGCAAATCATTTCAGAAGCAGTGAATTAAAATAGCTGCTAATCATCTTGAAACTAACCCAGGTCTTGTCCTCAATTAACCCTTTATTAGCTGTGTGACCCTGCTGCTCATGTTCTATTGCTTTCTAAAGCAAGAGCTAATTATACTCTTCCTCTCAAGCTACTGAAGTACTGTGGAAGATGCTGTGATACTGCCATACCTGTATCTTGATCACCAGAAAGTACACCAGCCTGGACAGCAGCACCATATGCTACAGCCTCGTCTGGGTTTATGCCACGGGATGGCTCCTTGCCATTGAAGAACTCTTTAACCAGTTGTTGAATCTTTGGAATTCGAGTAGAGCCACCAACAAGAACAATTTCATCAATATCAGACTTCTTTAAGTCAGAATCCTCCAGCACCTTCTGGACAGGCTTCATGGTAGAACGGAACAGGTCCTAGAATAGGAAACACAATTATTGTGGTGATACCTGTTCCACCCAGATATTGACTAAATATCTAAATGCAGTATCCTAAACACAGAGTCCAACTAGGTCTCATTAGCCAAGCAAAAAAAACAAGGAATATACCATATTTAGCTCTTCAAACTTGGCCCGAGTCAGAGTCTCAGAGAAGTCTTCTCCTTCATAGAAGGACTCAATTTCAATTCTTGCTTGATGTTGAGAAGACAGGGCCCGTTTGGCTTTTTCTACCTCCCGCCGGAGTTTCTGCACAGCTCTGTTGTCTTTCCTAACATCTTTGCCAGTCTTCTTTTTGTAGAGTTTGATGAAGTGTTCCATGACACGTTGGTCAAAGTCTTCTCCACCCAGGTGAGTATCTCCATTAGTAGCCACAACTTCAAAGACACCATTGTCAATGGTGAGAAGAGACACATCAAAAGTTCCACCACCCAGGTCAAACACCAGGATATTCTTCTCCCCTTCCCTCTTATCCAAGCCGTAAGCAATAGCAGCTGCTGTACTGTTAACAGAATGAGAAAGAAAAAAATGACTTAGTTAAGTTTACATTCCCCCTATTTGGCAAATATGCCATTATTTCTGAATTTGACACTCACGGCTCATTAATGATCCTCATAACATTCAACCCAGCAATAGTGCCAGCATCTTTGGTTGCCTGGCGTTGGGCATCATTGAAGTAGGCTGGTACAGTAACAACTGCATGGGTTACCTAAAGAATAACAGGTAATTAAGTGTATATTATCAGATGGTTCAACTCTTATATAAGTTGCACTCAAACCACCGCTTTAGTTTCTAAGACAATCTGCTGTTAGATGGGTATATGTAATTTTATACCCATGGATTTGCAAGCATTAAGTGGTAACAAAGTCCCTAATATTTGTTGAGCCTACAGTAAAATATGCAAGTAAATTAAAAATTGATTTATGAATGTCATTCAGATTCAAGTTATTAAAATACTAAAGGCATCTACACAACACAATAAATACAAGAATAGGGAAAATAAAATTAAACTTAACATTGTTCTTGAAATATTTACCTTCTTTCCCAAATAAGCCTCCGCAGTTTCCTTCATTTTGGTTAGAACCATGGCAGAAATTTCTTCAGGAGCAAATGTCTTTGTTTGCCCACCTCCAATATCAACTTGAATGTATGGTTTTGTCTTCTTCTCAACCACCTATTTTAAAGAATGATCATTAATTTCAGACACAGAAGCACAAACATTTAAAACTTTAAAAAGAGGACTGAGTCCCACTTTCTCCCCCCATAGTTTGGTTTACTTTGGTCGCTTGGAGCTGAATATTGCCTAGAAATACTTAAGGAGTATGGATGCCTTATAAAGACAAGCCTCTTCGGTTTTTTTTTTTTTAAGATTTATTTGTTTATTTATTTATGATAGACATAGAGAGAGAGAGAGAGGCAGAGACACAGGCAGAGGGAGAAGCAGGTTCCATACCGGGAGCCGACGTGGGACTCGATCCCGGGACTCCAGGATCGCACCCTGGGCCAAAGGCAGGTGCCAAACCATTGAGCCACCCAGGGATCCCCAGCCTCTTCGGTTTTAATCAGGCTCTTTTTTTTTTTTAATAAATTTATTTTTAATTGGTGTTCAATTTACCAACATACAAAATAACACCCAGTGCTCATCCCGTCAAGTGCCCCCCTCAGTGCCCGTCACCCATTAACCCCCACCCCACGCCCTTAATCAGGCTCTTAATACAAACTATGCAGACAGAATAGTCCCGTGGGAAGTGTCTTTATTTGCCGAGCTTACTTTGGCAATATTTGTAACATACCAAGATTACTCAATAAAAGTTATTACATGTACACCACATTTGTATCCTTTCTGTTGTCTCAATTTTTCCGTAACTTATTATTCTTAAACACTCCGACCCCCCATCGCCCACTTTCTCTTCGGGTGAGAAGAAAAAAAAAAAAAAAGCCCTATCGGACCTTGAAAGGCAAGAACTTGATGTCCTGCTGCACAGACGGGTCGTTCCATGTGCGGCCGATGAGCCGCTTGGCGTCGAAGACGGTGTTCTCGGGGTTGGAAGTGAGCTGGTTCTTTGCCGCATCGCCGATCAGACGCTCCCCTTCAGGCGTGAAGGCCACATAAGACGGCGTGATGCGATTGCCCTGATCGTTGGCGATGATCTCCACGCGGCCGTTCTTGAACACCCCGACGCTGGCGGAAACATCACGAAGAACGCAAGGAATCAGCACCGCGAGTCTCACCGCAGCCCAGGAGGCCACGCCCCATTCCCCCCTCTCCACAAACCCCACTCACCAGGAGTAGGTGGTGCCCAGGTCGATGCCGACCACCGTGCCCACGTCCTCCTTCTTGTCCTCTTCCTCGGCCCGCGCCGCGCCGAGCAGCAGCAGCACCGCAGCCACCAGGGACAGCTTCATCTTGCCGGCGCCGTAGGCCAGTGGGTCAGCAGTCAGTCAGGACGTCACGGGCAATCCAACCACAGGCCGCAGCACCGGAGCGCACCGAGGTGACTGATCTGAGGGTACAAGGCCCGGGGTCAGCAGGAGCAGCAGACAAGGTGAAGGGCAGGTCCGGAAAGACAGGCCGCGGCGCTTACCTCTCAGACTCACAAAAATCCCCCAAGTCGATGAGTCTGTGATGTCTCAGCCAGCGTCGACCGCGCCGTCGCCGAGGCCGCTTATATACCCTCCCCCCAGCCCCGTCGTGGAGGCCACCGATTGGCGTAGGCGCTGCTCGTTGGAGGCCGCTGATTGGTCCAGGCCACCAAGCTGGCCGCCGCCGATTCGAAGCGGCCTCCTCCGCAACTAACGTCACAGCTGCGCCCCCCCGGCGGACTCATTGGCGGCCGGTAGCATCCGACAGCCGCCAATGGGAGGCAACATCCGCCCCACGCGCAGTCCTCATTGGCTCAGCAGCTGTCTGTCTCTTATACGACCTCTCACCCGGAGGCCGTTTCCGCTGGTAATGGCAGAAGTCCCGCCTTCACACTGGGCCCTCGGGGGCCGGGATTAGAGTGGAGTAGGTGATTCCCTCGAGGCTGTTGGTTTGGGTTCTTGGTTGTTTCTCCGCTGTTTGCTTGACCCTCCTCTCTCCTTCCTCTCGAAGCGGGAAGCGACTCTTCCTCTTCTCAGCCTCCAAACCCGTCCCAAGCAGGCAGGTCTCAGCGTAGATGCTGTGATCACCTCAGAACAAATTTCTTTGCCCTCTATAGCCGCTACGGTTTGGGGGTGTCCGAGCCTCAGGGCTTTTTGTTCTCCCGCCCGCAGCCCTGTCTGGAGCAGTGCCCGGCCGCGGATAGTGGCTCCTAGCCATTCTTTCGGCCCTGCTCTCCCTAGCCAGGTACTTTTGTCTATACCAGGTTTCTCCACATTGCCCTACCCCACGGTAAGTCACAGGCCTGGCCATAGTAACTCCCTCCTCACCCTGAGTCCCCCCCCCCCCCCCCCCCCCCCAGTGCGGCAACCCTCTGCTGAAGCGCTTATATACTAATGCCATCGCTCACACCCTGCGATGTATTATTTTTCTGGCTTGCCGCTCCTCGCCTTCTCTTCTGCTCATCCTTTTTTCCTCTGTGGCCCCGGGTTTTCTTTTGCAAGGCCTTGCTTGTCCTTTAGTCTTGATACCTTTCTAACTTCACTCTTCCCGGAAAAGGTCAGATTGTGCTTACAACCTGTAGCAAAAAAATAATAGTCTACTATTTAATTTAGACTTACTGTGTGCCAACCATTGTTCTGTCTCCTATGTCATTCGGTCCTTACAGTTTGATACTTGGCATTTCCCATTTTCCGGATGAGAAATTTGGGACCGAAATATTAAATAACTAACTTAAAGTCACAGAGCTGGTGAGTGATGGAGTTAGAAGAGATATCCAAGTCACCTTAGCTCCATAGTCAATACTCTAAATTTTTAAAAAATTACTAAATTCATTCAACAGATCTTTTTGGAGCACCTACTATGGGCAGACCAGAAGCCTGACACAAAATATTTTGAGGTGCTTACAAAGAATGTATGGGACATTGTCAAAATCAGGAACTGATGACTCCAGTGTTTTTCCACTAAATATATTCTTGAAATTCATGGGTATTCATAATACTACATCCAAATAGCACTGAAACATCTAACACACACTTTACTAAGATGCTGAGCCTAGGAGTCAATACTAAAGAATTTTCCTTTCTCAAGGTTATGCTGGTGACTCAGAATTGACTATGGAAGTTGCATCACCCATCTTACAACAGGGCTTGTAATACTGCTGTAACACTGACCCTCTCTATAGGTTGCATCAGTTCACATCAAGATAGAAATCACCATCAAGCCACATTACAGCTTCATTTCAAGCAAACTTTGTGTATATAACATCCATTTACATCAAAAAGCTCTCAGTTAAAGCCTTGTCTTTGATAGAGTAATCTTTTGCAACTCTTCTTTTTTTTTTTTTTTCTCTAAGATTTAGAAAAGTAATATCTGGCTAACTTTCAAAGGGAATGGGTATATTGGTGGTTGTAGTATTTTTTTAAAATCAGGTATATTAGGTATATATTAGAGTATATTCCAAAGTGCAATCACTTCTGGTTTGAATAGAAAAGTGCATAGATAAATCTAGTTTCCTGAATGTTAAATACCAATAATAGTATTGGTGCCAATTACCAATATTTAAGCACAATATTTAAACACTTGATGTGCATTATCTCTTTTAATTCTTATGAAAGCCTTTCTTTCTTTAACCCTTATTTTTAGAGCTAAGGAATCTGAAGCCCCAAGAGGTGAAGAAATTTGCCCAGGAGATCACACAGCTCAAAAGATAGGGAGCCAGGATTTGAGCCTTGGAAATTTGGTTTTTAATTTCTGTAGTCAAGACTGTCATCCTGATCTTTGGCTTTATAAGATTTATGTCTTGTTTAGGATATAGAATAGTGGCCTAGTTTGCAAGTGTTTTGATAATGAGTGATAGACAAATGTAGATTTTTATCCAGTAATTTAAACCAGCTCATTTCACTTGTACTCCTATGGGTAAGATAGATTTCTATTTCTCATCTGATCTCAGAAAGCTAGGCAGAGTTAGGACTGATTAGACTTGGATATCACTTGGTTTCTAAATCTTCCTTTCTGAAAGGGAATTAAAGACATAGAACAGAAAGGAAAAGGAAAAGGCTTATACAATTGGCAAATTGAATGTTTTAGACGCCGATAATTGAGATTTTTCCGCATCCTTTGTTAAAGAAAATATTCAGCAAGAGATAAGGTACATGATCTTGGAAAAAAACAACCTACCAGAGCCTCAGTTTCTTCATCTATTGAATGTCAGAGATTTCTGTCCTGTCTCTCCTAGTGGTTTGTTTCAAGGACCAGATAAGAAACTATGTGAAAGTGTTTGGGAAGTTGTAGAATAATAGAGATGCTACTAATGTGAATGTACTATGAGAAGACATTTTATTTTATTTTATTATTTTTAGAAGACATTTTATTTTTTTTTTAATTTTTATTAACTTATGATAGAGAGAGAGGGAGAGAGAGAGAGAGGCAGAGACACAAGCAGAGGGAGAAGCAGACTCCATGCACCGGGAGCCTGACGTGGGATTCGATCCCGAGTCTCCAGGATCGCGCCCCGGGCCAAAGGCAGGCGCCAAACCGCTGCGCCACCCAGGGATCCCTAGAAGACATTTTAGAACCTCTTCAAGAAAACCACTTCTTAAGGGTCAATTTTCTTTCCCCACTTTTTAAGGGTCAAGATTTTTTTCAATGGAAAATAATGTTTGGTGATTATGTTGAATCTGACAGATTTTTTGAAATATTTTTTAAAACGCTCTAATTACTCTCCTATATTGACTACATAGCTGTCTTTTTTATTAAGATACTGAGCCTCAACCTTCATTAAACAATTCAAGAATAAAACAAAAGTGTCTCCCTGATTCCTCAGCCCCTGAGCTAGGAACAATAACTAGGTATAAATCTTGTAGCAGTTTTTTTGTGCCTTTTTTTTAAGATTTTATGGATATATTCATGAGAAACAGGCAGAGACAAAAGGCAAAGGAAGCAGGCTCCCTGCAGAGAGCCCTGGGGAGCCCATTGTGGGACTTGATCCCAGGACCCCAGGATCAACACCTGAGCCAAAGGCTGATGATCAACCACTGAGGCACCCAGGCATCCATTTTTGTGCTTTTGAAAGTGCAGTGTGCTATGCAATTAGTCTTCTTTGCCATGACTTTTTTTTTTGTCTTGACTTTTTAAAAGTGAATCTTATAATTAATAGGGAAACTTCCCCACATACAAATGAAAAGTTGCAAGTAGTGCATCTTCTTTGTGTGTGTGTGTGTGTGTGTGTGTGTGTGTGGAAGGCATGTAGGAGGGCATTCTGTATCAGTGTGATAGAAAAGCCCATGGGGTTTGAAAGCATAAAAACTAGAGAGTTCTGGTTCTGTCCCTTAACTAGCTATGATTTAGGGCAAGTCATGCTGTCTGAGGCTCTGTTTACTTGTCTATAAAATGTATATAATTTTGCCTCCTCAAAGTGGTTGTTATGATGATAAAGGTATTTGATTTGTTGTAAAGTATTTTAGTTTTATACAGAAGTTTTAATTTTTCTTATTTTTTTAAAAGATTTTATTTATTTATTAGAGCACAAACAGGGGGAGTGGCAGGCAGAGGTAGAGGGAGAAGCAGGCTCCCCACTGAGCAGGGAGCCCAATGCGGGGGGGCTCCATCCTAGGACCCTAGTAGGATCACAAACTGAGCCAAAGGCAGACATTTAACCAACTGAGCCACCCCTGTGCCCCTAATTTTTCTTCTGTTTTATATTTTCCTTTGAAGTAAAATAAGCTAACTTTATAGAATTTGAGTGATAATATTTGATATTTATCTTAAATTTCTAAATTTTTAAAATAGGAAATACAGGGGCACCTGGCTGGCTCAATCAGAGGAATGTGCCACTCTTGATCTCTGGGTCATGATTTCAAGCACCATGTTTGGTGTAGAGATTACTTAAATCCATATATATATGTATATATACTTAAAATGGGAAATATAAATGCATGGTATAAAATTTAAAAGACAAAACATATAAATATACAATGAACATAAGTTTGCCTGCCACCCCATCTCTAGTCTTATTCCTCTACACTGGTAAAGGTAAGCATTGTCATCACTTTCTTGTGCAACCTAGAGAGGACTTATTCATACACAGTGTGTGTCTATGCCTGTTTTATAACTAGTGATGGATCATGGTACTGCATACATGGTTCTGCTTCCATCCAGTTACCTATATTTCTTGGAGATTGTCACAAATCCACTGCCCCCCCCCTTTAATATCAGTAGTAGCTACTCTTAATGGAATATTTACTATGTGGTGGATGTTTTGCATATCTTAAACCTCTGTTATAAACTGCGATATGAATACAGAAAAGTATGTAAAATGCAATAGTACAGTATGAATAATCATAATATAAATCCCTAGGTATTCAGTATCCAAGTCAAGAAAAAGAATGTTGTCAGCACTCAGAAGTCCTCACTTTTTCACCCCAACTGATCCTAATTCCTTCTTCCATGAAGAAGTTAACTTCTCTTTATTGTTACAGTCTTTAGAATTTTATCATTTATTGTATTAGCTTCTTTTTTTAAAAAAGATTTTATTTATTTATGAGAGACACAGAGAGAAGCAGAGACACAGGCAGAGGGAGAAGCAGGCTCCATGCAGGAAGCCAGATGTGGGACTTGATCCCTGGACTCCAGGATCATGCCCTGGGCTGAAGGCAGGTGCCAAACCGCTGAGCCACCCAGGGATCCCCTATCGTATTAGCTTCTCTCTTCATTGCTATAACTTGATAAGCAGTAGATTCAGGCCTTCCACCTTCAGGAGTATCTTTTGTTATTCTTGGTACTTGCATTTTCATATAAATTTTAGAATTAGCTTGTCAAGTTGGCAAAACAAACCTACTCTATACTGTTACGGTAGAAAAATAAATTATTTAACGGTATGATAGTATACCATAATTTTTAAGTAAGCTTTATAAAGAAATCTTGACTTCTGTATTCTAGAATTGTTAAAAAAAATTGCATGAATTTAGTGCTTAAAATTTATCAGGAATGAACAATTTTCCATTTTGAAATGACAAATTATGTTACTTTAAGATGTTGAAATATTATGTAGCTGTTAAAATTGTTGATATCTATGTTTTTCAAAGAGTAAATTGTAAGTATGTTATTTTTTTGATCTACATTTTCTTGTTATTTAAAAAAAAAAATTCCTGTTTATCTATCAGGAACTTACCAAGCTTGAAAAACCTTTAAGAACTTAACACTAAAGGTAATACAGAAGAGAACTGCCCTCAGTCCACACACCGGCCAGCTCCATTATGGCAAGCCGAAGCCCCAGCATTGTGATTAGTGATGATGAACCAGGTTATGACCTAGATTTGTTTTGTATACCTAATCATTATGCTCAGGATTTGGAAAAGGTGTTTATTCCTCATGGATTAATTATGGACAGGACAGAACGGCTTGCACGAGATGTGATGAAGGAGATGGGAAGCCATCACATTGTAGCCCTATGTGTGCTCAAGGGGGGCTATACATTCTTTGCTGACCTGCTGGATTACATTAAAGCACTGAACAGAAATAGTGATAGGTCCATTCCTATGACTGTGGACTTCATTAGACTGAAAAGCAACTGTAGTGACCAGTCAACAGGGGACATAAAAGTAATTGGTGGAGATGACCTCTCAACTTTAACTGAAAAGAATGTCTTGATTGTTGAAGATCTCATTGACACAGGCAAAACAATGCAAACCTTGCTTTCCTTGGTCGAGCAGTATAATCCAAAAATGGTCAAGGTTGCAAGCTTGCTGGTGAAAAGGACTCCTCGAAGTACTGGTTATAGACCAGACTTTGTTGGATTTGAAATTCCAGACAAGTTTGTTGTAGGATATGCCCTTGACTATAATGAATATTTTAGAGATTTGAATCATGTTTGTGTCATTAGTGAAACTGGAAAAGCAAAATACAAAGCCTAAGATGAGAGTTCAGTTTGCAAAAATCTAGAATCCCATTGAAATCACTAGTGAAATAATCAAATGTTCTAGTTCTGTGACAACATAGAGGGGCTTATTGCATGTATTGTCTTAAGAATTTTATCTATTTGGTATGTTTGTTAAAAATGTCATTTGCTGCATTACTGAAGTTTTTATTTGCACTATGAGCCTATAGACCATCAGTTCCCTTTGGGTGGATTGTTGTTTGACTTGTGAATGAAAAATTTCTTAAACCACACTACTGTTGAATGAAAATATTGAAATTGTATCTGTAGGAAACATTTAAAGAGAAAATATATTAGTATTTAATTGGTATTTTAATATTTATGTATTCAGGAAAAAACAAGTGATTGAATATTGTTAATTATACTACTGTATGTTTAGAAAAGTAAGAAGCAGTTTTTGTATCAATGACAGCATGCAAGACGTATTGTTTTATTGGATAAACCATGTGTCCTTGAATTATGTTAGTGTTTCAGTGGTATTAACTGTATTTCCCCAGTTGTTCAGATTATTTCTGGTAAGTCTTTGTCAACAGTTTATTTGAATACAAATCAATAAATTCCAAAAAACTTTAAAAAATAAATAAAAGTAATACAAGAGAACAAAAAAGGTCAGTGAAAGATGTGCAAGATATAATTACATTAAAGATATTTCATACATTATGATTAATCATAGGTTAAACCAAATACAGGTAACGCATCAAAATTTTACATTGCATTAATAACATGACAGCTTCCATCAGTCTGGACATCCTTGATACTGATAAAGGATAAGGTTTTTTTGTTTTGTTTTAAGTGGGCTCCACACCCAGGGTGGAGCCCAACACGAGGCTTGAACTGATGACCCAGAGATCAAGACCTGAGTGAGATTGAATCAGATGCTTAACCAACTGAACCACTAAGGCACTCTGGAAGACTAAGGTTCATAATAGATTTCACTGGGCTGAAGTGCAAATTGCATGATTTATGTCTCTATTCTATAGCAGTCTTTTTCTTCATTTTCAGTGTTTTCACATTTTAGGCTTTTATCTGTTGCCCTCAACTTAGCCAATAATGAAAAATTCTTTGGCAAATGTTACAAAACCATATTGAATGTGAATTGCTTGGGGCTTGGAAGGATCCCCAGGCAAGTGAGAGGCCCTAAATCATAAACTCCATCAGCTTCATAGTAAATCCACCTCTGAGCACTGCAACTATTTCTGAGCCTGCCAGTGGGGGCCAGTGTAGGACAACCAAGGGCCCAGAACATGGAGTAGGGTTATGACTGTAGCCTTGTCCTTTGCTTTGAACTGGGCTGTTCCAAAGGCCAAAAAGCATTTTATGAAGAAATACTTTCTGCCATCTATGTAGAACAGCTTCCACACATGTCTTTCTGGATTTTTTGTTTGTTTAAAGATTGCTGGAGCTTTAGAAAATTTTTACTGTGGGGCCCCAGGGTGGTTCAGTTAGTTGAGCACATCTGCCTTCTGCTTTGGGTCGTGATCCTGAGGTCTTGGAATTGAAGCCCACCTTGGGCTCCCTGCTTGGGGAGTCTGCTTCTCCTTCTATCTCTGGCCCTCCTCCCTGCTACTGTGCTCTCTGTCTCTCAAATAAATCTTAAAAAAAAAAGAATTTTTCCCTTAAACATTTTTTTAAAACTATGTTAAAAATAACATAGTTAATTCACATGTATTTTTTATTCGGAATGTACAGTGAATCTAAATGTCCCTCAGTAGGGGATGCTAAGTCAACTACGGTAGGTGATACTATGGAAATACTGTGCAAAGTTTCAAAACCGAGGTAGATTTCTATGTATTGATATGGAATGAAGCTTGGGATATTTATTTATTTACTTACTTATTTTAAATATTTTATCTATTTATTCATGAGAGACACAGACAGAAAGGCAGAGACATAGGCAGAGGGAGATGTAGGCTCCTTGCAGGGTGCCTGATGTGGGACTCAATCTCAGGACCCTGGGACCACGACCCAAGCCAAAGGCAGATGCTCAATCACTGAGTCACTCAGGTGTCCCAGGATTGATTGATTGATTGATTGATTATTTATTTATAAAGATTTTATTTATTTATTCATAAGAGACACACAGAGAGAGGCAAGACATAGGCAGAGGGAAAGGCAGGCTCCATGCAGGAGGCCCAATGTGGGACTCAATCCTGGGACTCCAGGATCACGCCCTGAGCCAAAGGCAGATGCTCAACTGCTGAGCCACCCAGGTGTCCCCCAGGATTTATTTTTAAATGAAAACAGAATGGTATGTACAACGTGATCCTATTTGTGTTAAATAACCTCCCTCCCCAATCTAGACAGATAACTGTCATTGACATGAGTGACTCCCTCTGGGTAGAATTGGACAGGAATTGAGAGGATTATTTTTAAAGATTTTATTTATTTATTCATGAAAGACACAGAGAGAGAGAGAGGCAGAGACACAGGCAGAGGGAGAAGCAGGCTCCATACAGGGAGCCTGATGTGGGAACTTGATCCCGGGACTCCAGGATCACGCCCTGGGCCAAAGCCAGGCGCTAAACCGCTGAGCCACCCAGGGATTCCCAAAAGGATTTTTTTTTTACTTATTTGTATTGTACATATATTTTTAAGACCAAGAATGAATTTTTGTATTGCTTACTTGAAAGTGAATTTTAGAAAACAAATGTAGTGAACGTAATGGTTCGGTTAGCTTTTTAGCATTTAATTTTATTTTTTAAGATTTTATTTATTTATTCATGATAACACAGAGAGAGAGAGGCAGAGACAGAGGCAGAGGGAGAAGCAGGCTCCATGCAGGGAGCCCAACGTGGGAATGGATCCCGGGTCTCCAGGATCATGCCCTGGGCTGAAGGTGGCGCTAAACTGCTGAGCCATCCGGGCTGCCCAGCATTTAATATTTTTTAAAAAGATTTTTATTTATTTTGAGAGAGAGGGAGAGTACACAAGCAGGGGGAAGGGGCAAAGGGAGAAGCAGACTTCACCAAATAGAACCCTAGGATCATGACCTGAGCCGAAGGCAGATGCTTAAACAAGTAAGCCACCCAGGTACCCCTTAGTGTTAAATGTTTTAAATGTTTGCCTGCTATTTGAATTTGAACTGTGTCATAGTATAACAGCTCACATTTGTTTTACTTTGTGGTTTCCAAGCATTCGCCTGACTTCTTTGATCTTGTCCTCCTAACAACTTCATGGGATATAGAGGATTGGTGACATCTTTGTTTTACAGTTGAAAATATAGTCTCAGAGTTCATAGTAAAATTATGAATTCCCTGCTGTGTTGGTTTCTATTCACGTCATTGCTGTATTTATTTATCACTTTGTGTATAATTTGACTCAGATGAGACACTAAGATTAATCTTTCCACAGGCTATGGCTTTCCACAGACAAATCTTCTGTGTGCCAAATAAGAAAAATCACATAATAGGTGAAGCCCTTGTTTCTACCCTTACATCTTGCTCTTCCACTTTTTTTTTAAAGATTTTATTTATTTAATCATGAGAGACACACAGAGGGAGGCAGAGACATAAGCAGAGGGAGAAACAGGCTCCACGCAGGGAGTCTGATGTGGGACCCCATCCCGGGTCTCCAGGATCATGCCCTGGGCTGAAGGGAGCGCTAAACCACTGAGCCACCCAGGCTGCCCGCTCTTCCATTTTCTGATCTTCCTTTCTGGATGTGACCCTATTTTTCTTTCTGGTATGGTCTGTTCTTAATTAAGTGTCATATTTCTTTCCTTTTTTTTTTAAAGATTTTATTTATTTATTCATAGAGACAGAGAGAGAGAGGCAGAGACACAGGCAGAGGGAGAAGCAGGCATCATACAGAGAGCCTGATGTGGGACTCGATCCAGGGTCCCCAGGATCACGCCCCGGGCTGCAGGCGGCGCTAAACCGCTGCGCCACCCAGGCTGCCCTCATATTTCTTTCCTAAGTATAGATGCATGCTATGTTAAAAATGTTACTTTTCCCTGGGGCATGTATTTTTTAATTAGGATCTCTTGAGGAACAACCTCTAAATTCATACAAATGCAGGTGTTAGATTAGATGATCTTTGAGAATCAACTATAATACCCATGATTCAATGTATCTATACTAATGATGACATTTCAGAAAGCTTTCACAGACCTAAGGATAAAATAATTTTTTTCAGGGACGCCTGGGTGGCTCAGCAGTGGAGCGTCTGCTTTCTGCTCAGGTCGTGATCCTGGAGACCCGGGATCGAGTCCCACATCAGGCTCCCTGCGTGGAGCCTGCTTCTCCCTCTGCCTGTGTCTCTGCCTCTCTCTCTCTCTCTCTCTCTCTCTCTCTCTCTCTCTCTCTCTGTCATGAATAAATAAATAAAATCTTTTTAAAAAAATTCTGAGTTTGTCACTACTCTTTTTTTTTTTTGTCACTACTCTTGGATTCTGTAACAGAGTAGTCTAATGGAGAGTATAGAGTTAGGAATCTGAAGAACTGAGCTCTAATCAAGATTCAGTATGAATTTCTTAACTATGGGTACGTAACTTCATATCCTTGTATATCAGGGAAGGCTGAGTGTTGTAGTGGAAAGAAAAGAGCTTTAGCCAGTGTTCATTGTTTATTCATCCTACTCATTTTAAAAAATAGGAACAAAAATATGTATTACATCCTAGGCAGTATGCCAGGTTCCAGAGGAACAGTGGTAAATAAGATCGGGTTCTCTGCCCTCAGGGAGTACTATTTATTGATTATGAGCATCTTTTCACCCCTCGAGTTCACTTTTCCATGTGTAAAAGATGTTGAGAACACTAGTACATATTCCATAAGAATTACAGTTGTAGTGATCTGCTGTTCTAATGTAGGAGCGGCTGTATTCCTTGGGTGTGCTGGGTGGGGAAAAAAATTGAAATCTGCCTATAGTTCAAGCTCTTCACTTATAAATGAAGTAGGGCTCAAAATGATTGACCATCCCAGTGCTTGTTTCACAACCATCAAGAACTTTTTGGAACTTTTGGGGCCGTTTCCTTCCTCTCCTCCATGGCATGTGTGCTCCAGCCTATCTAGAGTACTCAGTGTTAAGTGAAAGCAAACCGTGAATGTATTTATACATACATTTTGCTCAGGCTGCGTTCTTCCTTAGCAATCCTCACATGCCATCTTCTTGAAATCCAGCCATTTGGTAGCTCCAAGTATCTTCTTACAGTCATGGCCACTCAACTTGTTGAAACCTGTCTCCGTGATTCTCATAGAGCTCTATACCTCAGCTTATTATTATGATCTTTAATCTGTGTGAGTTACTCTTTCAGCCTAGATTGTAAACTGTGTCTTGCTGCTTTTTCATTCCCCTGGTGCTTTGGGCAATGCTTTATTTTTATTTTTAAACATGTTTTTAAAAGATTTTATTTATTCATGAGAGACACACAGAGAGACGCAAAGACATTGGCAGAGGGAGAAGCAGCCTGATGTGGAACTGGATCCTAGGACCCTTGGATCAGGACCTGAGCCAAAGGCA